GGCTACGTGCAGTGCACAGGTCCCGTTCTCTGCAGCTCAGACGGACCGGTTCTGGGCGGGTGCTCGCGGTGTTGCGGGGACTGGGGGGTGGGGGCTTCCCCACGCGCAGCGGTGGATGGATGCACGGCTGTTCTTAGGGCATCTCCCTTCTTCCTGACCTTGGCTCCTCAGATCCTCATGGCCTTGGTTGCTCTCTGATGCCTTCAGTTGCCAAGCAATTTTAGATTTTGAAATAATTTCAGACTTTCAGCAAAGTTGCAGAACTAGAACAGAGAGCTTCTCTCCTCTTCCCGATGGTTACAATTTACAAGTAGCCTTGACTATTTGTATTTATCACCCAGCGCTGCCGTATTTATTTCCCAAGCTGATACCAGCAGGGCATGACTGCTCTCTGGCTGAGAGAACAAATACAGGCCCTGGCCCGTTTGGCTCAGCGGTTAGAGCGTCGGCCTGTGGTCCAGAGAGACCCGGGTTCGGTTCCTGCTCAGGGCACGGACCTCGGTCACAGTTTGTCCCCAGCCCTGGTTGGGTCATGTGGGTGGCAGCCACTCGATGTGTCCCTTTCACGTCGATGTTTCTCTCTCTCTCTCTCTACCTCCCACTCTGTCTGAACAAAAAATGGAAAAATGTCCTCGGCTGAGGATAAGAAAAAAAAAGAACAAATACAGGAGCCACTAGAGAGGGTGACCTTTTTGGTAAAGGGCTCCTCAGAGTGTGAACACGACTCAGGTCACTACCCTTCTGACATTTCTCCTCCAAGGAGACATCTCCTGGGACCTAACCAGGGTGGGTGTGCTGTGCCTGAGATGCCCCTCATGGGACTCTGCAATGCCCACCTTCACTCTCGAGCCTCTGAGACGCGTTCTAGTGCGAAGTCTGCTCAGTTTGCTTGTCCGATGCATGTGGTCTAGAAGCGGCCCTTTCGCCTGACGGAGGTACGTCCCGTGCAGCTAAGTGTTCAGTTGCTCTCGTAGCAAAAATGCTGTTCCGCAGGAACTTTTTATTCTTTTAAAAAATGTATTGATTTTAGAGAGAGGACGGTGGGGAGAGAGAGAGAGGAGAGAGAGACATTGATTTATCGTTCCACTTATTTGTGAATTCATCGGTTGACTCTTGAGTGTGCCCTGACGGGGGATGGAACTGGAACCTTGGCATTTGGGGACGATGCTCCAACCCACTGAGGCCCCAGCCAGGGCTGTTCTGCTGAACTGTCTACCTTCTGAGGTAGATCCATTTTGCTTCTTAACCTTTCCTCCTAGGGTCTGGCTTTCTTGCTGTTTAATTTCTTGCTTCATGAAAGGGAAGAGGGTGGAGAGGCCAAGGTTTCTTTGAAAACAGTTATTTGCACAAGGAGGCCAAGGCGGCGTGAGCGTTTACCAGTAAAACCTCAGCAACCCTCCGTGCAACGCCACACGCACAAGCTTCCAGACCCCGAATCAATCCTTTCCCTCGATGCTCCGTGGCAGTCCTTGGAAAACGCTTTTTATTTTTCTATCATCGACGACTTTGGAGCCTGCTGAGCACGAGATGGGGAAGGAGGATTCTGTGTCTGGTGGCAGCACCCAGGCACCCTGACATAGATCTGATTTGCACCCCAATTCTCTTCCTCGCTGGGGAAGAGCACACCAGGCACAGGGTGGCGCTTAGATGCGCGAGTCTGTCCGGCGAGCCCAGGTGAGACGCGGTGCTGCTGATGCACAAGCTGCAGAGCTGAGCTGTGTTTGAAGTTAGAGAGAAATTTCGATGCTCTTCCCATGTCTTCCTTGTCACAGAGTGTGGGTCCCTTTGTATCTCCAGGAGAATATCCTTGGCCACCTTCTGGGCCCCCCCGGTGCATTCTCCAAGGCTCTCTTCCTGGCATCCCTCACCTGCTTGGCATCCCCACTGCCATGAGATTCAGCTCAGCCTCAGGAGCCGGCCCGTGTGTCCCCTTCACCAGGGCCAGGACTGCACATCAGGGACCCTTACTGAGCTGTGATGCTGTTCCCCACACGTCCTCACACATCCTTCGAAACCTCGCGGGTCCTTCTAGGGACGGACGCGGGACCTTCTCACCCATGTGGTTTGCCTCCTCCGACCCGGGTTCCCATAGCAGATTCTGCCCCTCTCGTGTGGAAAAGTACCCGCCTCACGGGGTCACGCCATCTGCTTCCGCTGCTCCGCGAGGGGCTGGAATGTGGAGCCGCTGACCTTTCCGTCCTGCGGGCGATGCGGCTGGCAGACCGTCCGGTGTTTGCTGAATCCGACGGGGCGACGTTGCGTCGCTTTGGAAGGTTGAGTTGAAGTGTTGGGCTCACAGAAGATGAATTTGGGGCTCTGCGTTGTTGATTTCCAAGTACTGCGTTTGCTGCATCCCACAGACGTTGTGATGTGCAGTATTTTTATTGTTACATTTGCAAATTTTTATAATTTTTTCCCTGGCCAGGTAGCTCAGTTAGAGAGAGTGAGAGAGAGACATGGGTTTGTTGTTCCACTTACTGATGCATCCATTGGTTGACTCATGTACGTGCCCTGAGCAGGGATCAAACCTGCAACCCTGAGGGACTCGGCCAGGGCCTGGAGACATTTTTGGTTGCCACAGGGGTGTGTGTGCTGCTGGCATCTTGTGGATGGAGGTCAGGGATGCTGGTAAACATCTTGCAGTGCCCAGGACAGCCCCTCCCAAACACTTTTCTGGTCCTCAATATCCAAGTACCAAGATGGAGAAACTGTCTACACAGGGTCTTTTTTCAGTCTGGCCGCATGGGGACGCCTTTCCGTCCGTGCCGCCCGTTGCGATGTCCTTTGTCCTGAAGCAGGCAGCTCCGGTGTGAACCCTGCTAGGAAACCGCCCCGGAGTCCTGTCTGGGACCCCAGCAACCTGGCGCACACTGTTGGCGCCGCCCTGGTGACTCCCTGAGGCCCTGCCCCACCTAACTTTCAGGCCCACCCAAGCTGTTCCCAGTGGCTTTACTATAGGATTTGTCTGTCTTGGATCCTGTTTCAGATTTTCCTAAATCCTTTCAAACAAGCACCATCTGGCCTCAGCGAGCCCCATACCTCTCACTAAGTGGCCCCAGGCCTGGCACTAGAAGCAGCCAGCCTTGGTTCACAGCTTGGCTTTTCCTGGGCACCTCCAAACCCAGCACAAAAAGCAGCCATCTGCAGATCCCTTTGTAGCTTATGCCTGGTGGCCCCGGGTAGAACACAGACAGTGGCTGACCTGGCTCCGGAGCCGGCACACCTAGGGGACAGCTTCAGACCACGTCGAAGCACCACCACCCAACCACCTCTACAAGCGACACACTCAAGGAGTGGACTTAGTGGGTACCAGAGCCCTGCTGAAGTAAGTCTTACTCTGTGGTGGCCCCTACACAGCTGGTCCTCTAAGGGAGTCAGAGGTCAGTGAGCAGTGGGCACAGCCAGTCCTTGCAGCTGATCAGCCTGAGTAAATCCCTCCCATTGACGTGTCAACAGCAATCAAGACTCAATGACAACAGAAGGGTGTACAGTCTATATGGAGGGTGCACCTCGAGGGCACAGCTGGGGTGATCAGAGAGACTGTGTCACTGGACCCTACTGGACAGCTGCTACAATAGGCCACCCTGGGAAGCCTAGGAGACAGAGTAACTCTGCCTAATGCCTAGAAACAAACACAGGAGGCAGCCAAAATGAGGAGACAAAGAAACTTGTCCCCAGTGAAAGGACAGAACAAAACTCCAGGAAAAGAACTAAGCAAAATGGAGATAAACAATCTAACAGATGCAGAGTTCAAAATACTGGTTATAAGGATACTCAAGGAACTTAGAACCCCAAAAGCATAATAAAGGACCAGTCAGAAATGAAGGATGTGCTAACAAAGAATAATTTACAAGGAATCAACAGTAGAGTAGGTGAAGCCAAGAATCAGATCATTGATTTGGAATATAAGGAAACAAAACACACCCAATTATAACGAAAAGAAAAAAAGAATCCAAAAAATGAGCATAGTGTAAGGAGCCCAACATTTGCATCATGAGGATGCCAGGAGAAGAGAGAGAGCAAGAAATCGAAAACCTATTTGAAAAAAGGACAGAAAATTTCCCTAACGTGGTGAAATAAACAGACATATAAGTCTAGGAAGCACAGAGAATCCCAAACAAGATGAACCCAAAGAGGCCCACACCAAGACACATCATAATTAAAATGCAAAGGTTAAAGACAAAGAGAGAATCTTAAAAGCAGCAAGAAAAAAACAGTTAGTTACCTACAAGGGAGCTCCCATAAGACTGTCAGTCCAATTCTCAAAAGAAACTTGGCAGGCCAGAAGAGAGTGGCAAGAAACATTCAAAGTGATGAAAAGCAAGGACCTACAACCAAGATTACTTGATCCTGCAAAGCTAACATTTAGAATAAATGAACATATCAAGAGTTTCCCAGACAAGAAAAAGCTAAAGGAGTTCATCACCACCAAACCGTTATTATATGAAATGTTGAAGGGTCTTCTTGAAGAAGATAAAAAATATGAACAATAAAATGGCAATAAATACACATCTATCAACAATTGCATCTACAAATCAAATGAACAAGCAAAACAGAAACAGACTCATAGATACAGAGAACTTTTTGATGGTTGCCAGATGGGAGGGAGGCTGGGGGGATGGTGCAAAAGGTGAAGGGATTAAGAAGTACAAATTGGTTGTTAGACTGCTGAGCATCAGCGGGAAGGTGGGGAGGAGGGGGTAACAGAAGAGGTAAACCAAGGAACTTATATGCATATATATAGATATAGATATATATATAACCAGTGGACACAGTACTGTGGGGAAGGCGGGGGGTGGGGGGAGCAGGCAGGAGGGGGTCAATGGGGAAAAAAGTAGGGATATCTGTAATACTTTTAAAGATTTTAAAAAATCCAACAGGCTGAATTTGAGGGGTGTGTGTGTGTGTGTGTGTGTGTGTGTGTGTGTGTGTTTCATCATTTGGGTAGAAAATGATCACAAATCATGGTACATTGCAACTATTTGTGTTTATTTCTGCAGCTAATTAGTGAAAAAATAAGTGGCATCGAAGGAACGAAACTAGATGACGAATTTCTTGACATGGAAAGGGTAAGATCTTGTTAATGTCGACTGTATTATAAATCGGACTTTCGTTACAAGAGGAGACATGTCGCTACCGTAGAGGTTGTTATAGTGGGAGTCGAGGCTGCGTACACACAGGGGTGGGTCCTGGAATCCAAAGGGCAATTCTTTCACAGCCTGAGTCCAAACAGTGACCCCACATCTGAGCCCACATGAAGACCCTTGATTATGGAGGAGACTGAGTGTGGCTCTCTGGTTCCCCCTAATGGACAGTACTCAGAATGCTCCAAAGACTGTCCGTCTTGGCGACCAGTTCTGGTCCTTGGAGAGTCAAAACATATTTCTGGGATGAGACCCTTCACATATATACATATTGATTCTCCTCATGGAAGCCCTGACTCTGTCCCCCGGGTCCCGACCGCTGCGTCCCGAGTCACTGTACCCTGGTGCTGCCTTAGAGCGGGCCTGGGAACCTGGGGGAGTGGGTTCCTCATCTCCGGCTGTGACGCAGGGTGATAGGCTGTGCTCGTTTTGACCATTTTGCAGAACATTCGTGCATATAAAAGCATGGGGGGGAAATATGACAGGACCCTTTTTGAAAAAAAAATTTTTTTCTTTTAATCCTCACCCAAGGATATGTTTTATTGATTTTACAGAGAGAGAGAGAGAGAGATGTCAATGTGAGAGCTAAATGTCCATCGGCTGCCTCCTGTATGTGTTCTGACCAGGGATCAAACCCTCCACCTTTCAGTGTACCGGATGATGCTCCAACCAACCGAGCCACCCGGCCGGAACGGGATGGACCTTACCAGAAAGTGATTGTAGCATGTTCCCTGGTCACCTGCGTGGAGACCCCCGAGGCCCCCAGGGACCGCCAGCTTCCTCCGTTTCTTTCCCTTTGTCTCGGGTGAAAATGACTTCTCCATTGTTTTTTTTTTTCTGTGAATTCATTTACCAACATTTCATGTGCTTTTTTTGTTTTTTCCTTTTTTCCAGAAAGTAGATGTCACCAATAAAGCGGTTGCAGAAATTCTTACAAAAGCCACAGAATATCTTCAGCCAAATCCAGGTAAAGCTAGAAAATGTCTTGAGTGAGACTATTGTGCATTCGCTGTGACCGACGCTGGTCACCCACGTTTCCTGGGCCCTCGTTTGACACGATCTAGAAACAATGCTCTTGGTGCCCCAATAACGAAATTCCGTTTTTTAACGTCAAGCCTCCAGGGACTGTGGTCGCTGTGACTCCTAGCTGAGGAGACACAGGGCAGACAGTCCTGTGACCCATGGTGACATCACTTGAAATGGGTCTCGGTCCGGCAGCTGGGCACTGCTAAGAAAAGACATTTTCTATGAGATATTTCAGAAGCCTGCTAAACGTTTGGTAAATGTTTGCTGCTTATTTAGTTATTTCTTCCTTTTTAAAAAAAAAAATGTATGCCATCCTGTTCTAAAGGCGTTTATTAATTTGAAATGGCTTTTGCTATGTGGCTCAAATGCTAAAAAGACGAGGCGTGATAATACGAAAAGCAGTGTGAGGTCTGGTGTTGATGTAAGCTTCTTTTTTTTTTCTTTATTGAGAGAGAAAGAGAGAGAGACATCAATGTGAGAGAGAAACATTTATTAGTTGCCTCCTGTACACACCCAACCGGAAATCGAACCAGCAACCTTTCTGGTGCGTGGGACGACACCCAACCAGCTGGGCCACTCCGGCCGGGTGGGCTCTGCGTTTTAACAGGACCCTTGGGCAATTTGTATGCACATTCCAGTTTGAGAAGCATTGGTCCTAGAATACATCAAAACAACTATGTAGTGAAGTCAAAGAAAATAAAAGTTTACGCCTTTACCACCTAAAATGATCCGGAGCACCACAAGCTAGCGTGCGGTTCGCCCTGTGGCCCACAGAGTGAAATCCCAAATCCTTCGCTTGGTGTTCACGTAGGATGGTCGTGCGTTAATTTCCTCTTGGGTCAGACCAGCCTGCTCTTTATGGTTAAATACGGTCGCATCCCATCTCCTCCATCTTACATTGCTGCACGTTTAAGAGGCATCTGTCCATCTTTCAGCATATTGCTGTTTTTTTCCTCGGGACATCGCTCCGAAATCATTCCTAGAGTCACATTTTTAGACTCCGCGGGAAAGAATCTTGAAAAGCCCGTGAGAGGCGAAGTAGGTCACCCACGGTCTCTGACACGGTGTCCAGGGTGACCTCGATTCCACCGGCCGCCTTGGTTAAATGCTCCGTGCCTGTCACTTGAAGGAATTACAAATGACGCTGTTTTTAAGCATACAGAGCTAAGCTAGGGATGCTGAACACTGTGTCGAAGATCCGAGGGCAGGTGAAGACCACCGGGTACCCGCAGACCGAAGGCTTGTTGGGCGACTGCATGCTGAAGTACGGCAGGGAGCTCGGGGAAGGCTCCACCTTCGGTGAGTGGCCCGGTCCCCCTGGCAGGTCGTATAGGAAGCCTGTCTTTTAACAATCTGTATTTTTAAATTTTTTTTCCTGATTGCCAAAGTACCATGTATTTGTGACAGGAAGCTTAGAAAGCCTAGGCAAGTAAGACAAAGAAAGATGCTGACGTCACCCAAATCGTGTGTACGGTGGTGGGTCCAGTTACGCTCCGTGGCACAGCCTTTGCACCGTGTTTATTCTCACGTGTTCACACACACCTTTAACAAATGTACATGCGCCCTGGACGGTGTGGGTCAGTGGTTAGAGCACCGCCCAGGGCTCAGACCCTCAGCTCAGGCACATACCCTCGACCAGGAATCAAACCCGAGACCCTTTAGTGCGTGGGCTGACGCTCTAACCACTGAGTGCACCAGCCAGGGCAAGGGCTGCTTTTTGGGGCCATGTGGTGGGACCCTCCTAAAGTGCAGAAACCCCAGGGGGGTGGGGGAGACCGAGCCCTCCCCCCCCTGGAATCAGCAGCACTAAATCTTGGATGAGGAGAGAGAACGCCCGTCCATGCGGAATGTTGTCTTTGGAGTCTTCAAAGAAATATCCTTGGAAGTATTTCTGCCAAAGCTAAATTCATGGACATTCTGGGGCAGGGGCTTGGGTGGCAGAAAGAGTGGTGAGGTCAGAAGCAGAGTCCCCCCATTTCTGACTTACCGGGCAGGGGGGTCTCCAGGCTGGAAAAGGACGCCCCGTCTCCATCGGAACGAGGTCGAACCTGGCCTCCTGGGACTTCGTTAAGGAAACTGAGCCTCCCGGGAGGAGGGGAGTAAACGGATCCCCAGCTGTCATTTAAAGCAGTGTTTCCGGGGATGCACTAGTTTATTTCTTATAAAAATTAAAAACAGAATGCGGCCATAGTGCTGTCCCTGCTTTGCAGGCGAGGAAACTGCGTGCCCTCCACCAGTAGGGGAAAGGATTGAGGGTCGTATTTGTTTGAAATGCTCATTCTTGGGCTGGCCTTTAAGGTCTTTAAGCCTTTGAGTTGAGAGACCCCCAAGCTCTGTGTTCTTACAAACCCAATTTGGGCCCCTCCCCCCGCAACAGGAAAACAAGTTCAGTCTCGGGCCGCATGTCCCTGGGCTGTGTTTTATATGTGAGAACCTGCAATCTCATTGTGAACAGCCACCAGGACCCCCCGCCCCACCCCCAGCTTGCACAGTCAGCCGGAGCTGCCCATGGCTGCCCAAGCTGGGCATGGCAGCTCGCCCTGCTGGGAGCTCCCAGCGGGCACCGCCAGGCTTTCTCTGACATCAGGGAGGACAGAGAGCCTCAGCACCATCTGAAGGGCACAGGGTGCGGCCGGCTGAAGGAAGATCTGGCAGCCACAGCTGAGAGATTTTGTTCGTTTATTTCTATTGTAATCTTGATTGGTCGATGCTTAGCCCTGGTGATGACTCAATCCTTTTATTGTTTATGAAGAGGGAGGACTTTGTTCTGCTGCTTCTGAGAAACCCTGGTGCTAGTTCACAAAAAGCACATTAAAAAGATAAAAATAATAATGGAGCTCTATCCCCATCTAGTGGCCAGAATGGTAAATGCCTCGGCCTGTCCGCCTCCAGGTGAGTTGATGTAAGAACTGTGGAACGTAGAGAAGAAATGTAGAAAGTTTTTATTTTTATTCTTTTCTGAGTCAGTCCCGGAATGAAGACCTTGTTAAACCACCATTCCGCAAACTTGGGGAAAGAAAGAAATATCACCCTGGCTGGTTTGGCTCAGAGGTTGAGCATCGGCCTGCAGAGCATGTACCACCAACAAAAAAAAAAAAAAGAAAGAAAGAAAGAAAGAAATATTGCTGCTGACCTTAGAGTACCCTGCCAACGAACCCTTTGTGTTTGTATCCGTATTTCCAGGCAGCGCACTCATAGAAGTCGGCGAATCCATGAAGCTGATGGCCGAGGTGAAAGACTCCCTTGATATCAGTGTGAAGCAAACTTTTATCGACCCACTTCAGTCACTGCAAGACAAAGATTTAAAAGAGATTGGGGTAAGTTTCCTCCGTGTGAACCCACCTGTTGCCACTTAAAAGGAGGTTCCCATGTAAAACCATTAGGACATTTCTGTAGGGACCCAGGGGAAGCATCATCTCACTGTGGACGGTGAAAAAAATCCGTCATTTGTGTTCACCCGGTGCCCTGGGCGGGAGCCCCAGGATCCGGGAGCCCCAGGATCCGTGAGCCCTTTACCCCGTACATTAGTGGAGCCAGGGAGAAGCCAGGCGGAAGGTACTTATTTCCACAGCGATGTCTCACTTAAAATGATTCTAAAACCGTGTGGTGGGTTTTTTGATGACGAACGTCATACCATACCCGTTACGTCTTTTGATATGTTGCCTGAGTGGTCACGCTTTTCCAGGACTTCATTTTATATTGGAAAACTCGTAAAAAGGGCCATCCGATCTCTCGCACGGAGGGTGTGTGTCCGTCCATCGTAGAGTTTCCTCAACTTGTTCCGTAACTGCTGGGTAACTTAATGGGGGGCACATAGATATTCCAGGGGATGCTAGAAATTTGTGTTTTTATCATGTACTTCACAGAGAGGAGTTGACAATAGTGTCAAAAGTAATATTTCTATTTGATGTAATTTGGTTGGAAATTATTTGGACATTAACAGAACCAAAGTGAGGGGTCCTATAAAGAACTTTGGAAAATGGAATCTGAGTGCCCACACTGTGTCCTTATATTTATATCCACGATCATTCATTCATCCTATCATCCATTCATTCATTCCATCCATCTATCCATTTATTCATTCATTCACTTACGCTGTCTATCATCCATCCGTTCATTTATCATATCATGCATCCATCCATTCGTCCGTTTATTCATTTCATAAATGTTCTTTAAGAATTTGCAATGAGAGGAGCCTCTAACATGTTGCTGAGGTACCCACCAAAAATAAAAAAAAAAGTGTCAGACGAGTTCCTGCCCTCTAAAATTTAGGCCAAGAAAAAATAACAACTCTTTTCGTAGAAGGAAGGCCTCTCTGTGCATGTTTTGAGTGTGACAGTCCCTAAAAGTCCGTCTCCTCTGTCTGTCAGCACCACTTGAAGAAGCTGGAGGGCCGCCGGCTGGATTACGATTATAAAAAGAAACGAGTAGGTAAGATACCAGACGAAGAAATCAGACAAGCGGTAGAAAAATTTGAAGAGTCCAAGGACTTGGCTGAAAGAAGCATGTTTAATTTTTTAGAAAATGATGTAAGTATTGACACCCAACAGGAGACTTCCGTGTGAATGAAAACATTGACTCTGTCTGTGGGGAAGCACCGTAGCCTTCATTGTTATAAAAGTTTCCAGAACGTTCTGTGACCGTGTTCTCCTGCCTCGGAGATCGCGTTCGACCTTCAGCAGGTCCCAGCTCAAATCTCAGCTCTCAGGACGTCCACTTTGTCCCAGGATGGCTTCCACGCTGCGCCGGAGTTGGCCCCGGGGGGCGGGTGTCCCAGGAGTTACCCAGTTTCTGGGACCCTAGTGTCGCTGGTTTTGCAGAGCGGAAAGCCCACGTCAGGTGGCGGTTCTCATTCTTGCTGAGATGGTGAAAACCACCCTGTGGGGCAGATGTCGAAAGGGGGCACCTCTCTTGGCGAGGGGAAGCCTTCACTTGTCCTAGTGCCCACTCAGGACGTAAAAGTGTGACCGAGATTTTTGAGTTGTACCGTAGTGTTGCCTGGGAGCTTGGGGACTGTGAGGGGGACATAGGTCTTAGAAGTCCTGGTGCTCCGCGGGCTGTGATTCTCGCCATCAGCGTTGCCTGTCCGGGATAGTTTAGATGAACTGGAATTAAGGGGGAGGGTAGGATGAAGGGCCCCCTCTTTGCACTGGCGACAATGAGGTGTTGCTGGGCGGTTCTCAGTGCCCGAGTAGGGGAGCCTCGGCCACCTGCCTCCCTCCGGAGTTCCTGCCCTCAGCCTGGCCACCTGCTGTGAGCCAGGTCGGCTTGGCGCTTGCTTTGGACCTTTGTTGAACTTTCTTTATTCTTTATTGAATTTTTTTTGTAGAGCGAGGGGAAGGGAGAGGGAGAGAGATAGAGACATCGATGAGAGAGAACACTGATTGGCCGCCTCCTGCACGCCCCCCACTGGGGATCCAGCCCACAACCTGGGCATGTGCCCTGACTGGGAGTCGAACTGGCGACCTCTTGGTGCAGGGTCGATGCTCAACCACTGAGCCACATCAGCGGAGCTATTTGTCGAACTTTAATTTTTTATCCTCACCTGAGGACATTTTTCCATTGTTTGTTCAGATAGAGTGGGAGGGAGAGAGAGGAAGAGAGAGAGAGAGAGAGAAACATCGACGTGAAAGGGACACATCGAGTGGCTGCCACCTGCACAACCCAATCAGGGCTGGGGACAAACTGCAACTGAAGTACGTGCCCTTGGTGGGAACCGAACCCGGGTCTCTCTGGACTGCAGGCCGACGCTCTAACCGCCGAGCCAAACTGGCCAGCACTATTTGTCGAACTTTTAAACCCATGAGCACAAATCACAGGATTTATTTATCTGCAAAATTATGTTCTACTTCTCATAGTTTATTAAAAGGTATATCGAGGTCTCGCATCTCTGAGTAGAGTCAGATGGCGTGGGCCGAGCCCCTTTTATAGCCGTGGTGATGAGATTCAGGCGGGGTCACGTCCAGTATGGACGAGACATTAGTCCTGGAGGGAACAATTTGAAACTCCCGTGCCCATTAAACCTGAGTTCTCAGAAGCACACTGTGTTTTGTTTCTCCTTTTAAATATTTTACCAGGTTTTTTTATTTTTTTTTATTTTATGTTTTACGGGAAATGGGGAAGGGGTAAGAGTTTGCTCTGTTTTGCTTGTTTGTTTTCCCTTAAATATATACATTTCCTCTTGACATTGCCCCCAAGCGGTAGGCCATCTTGGTTTGGTTTTGACTCCAATTGCCATGTGTGATTTTTGGAAGTATTTGGAAAAGCACCTTTTGGGGTGTTTTGTATCAGATGCACCCGTCAGTGGTGGTTTAACCCCTCGGGTCGGACCCTGGGTGAGGTTTCCGGTCTCCTTTGCTCTGCCCTGGGTGGTTGACCCCAGAGACCTCAGTTTTCCCTGGAGTGTCAGTCAAAGGGCCCAAGTGATCCTTAGAAGAACGCAGTCCTTTGTCCATGCGGGACCCTGACAGTAGCCTGCTCATCACACAGGAGTGAGCTCCTCCCGCCCCGTCCTGGCCGGAGTCAGAGGACGTGGAGGGAAGCCTGCCTTCTCGTCCCCGGTGACCATCCCCGTAGATTTGTCCAGCTGAGCGGTGCAGCCAGTGGGAGAAATGTTCCACCTTCTGACAGGTTGGGGCTCTTGCGAGGCCTGGGTTTGCTGCAGCCTTGGTCTGCCCGTCCAGGTGTTTCCTTCTAAGTGTGGTTTGGAGGCGGAGGCCACCTGGCCACCGCCCGGTGCTCATGGCCCGGGCACAGCGGGGGGCTCTCCTGCCTGTCAGGGAGGGGCGGATAAGTCACAGTGACACCGTGTGCCTCCCTGTCTCTGGGGACTCAGCTTAGTGGCCACCTCTTCCCTAGTTGCACCTCTTATGTATGCATGACAGCCACATTTTAAGGGGCCCCAGGGTTCATTTCTTTCCCAAAGTCTGCCAGGAAGTGGCGAGCTCCAAGTGCATCTCTCGATGACACGGTCTTATATTTCAGCACCTCAGAGAGTCAGGATTTGCTGATGCCCCCTGCCCCGCCCAACCCCATTGTGTTTCGAAGATTGTTCCTTTCGCCTTTCCCTGTTCCTTTGCACAGTCGCAACGCCCGCAGGATGCAGAGCGAGGTTGAAGTAGAAATTGCAGGGTGGTGAGGTGCAGATTCGCCCAGCTCCCGGCTCTGGCTCTGGGAGGAGAACTTTCTTTCTTTCTGTGGCATAGTCTACCGTGATGGTGCTGGTGGAGGCTCTGGCCTTGTGTAGAAGTGTGTGTCGGAGCCAACAAGGTGAAACGCAGGGACCCCCTAAGGCTCCACAGGGCCGGGCTGCCTTCTGGTTTGCTCGGTTTTGGAAATTCCAGGCTGGGCGTGCGCTTTTCGGGCCGTCAGCGCGGCTGCCGCACTCCGTGGGGCTCCCTTGTTTCGATGCGAACCCTGGTGTGGCCACGTGGATGTCCACGGAGGTCCGAAGTGCGCGGTGGACCTGTGTTTGAAATGGTGCACGTGGGTAAGGAGAGTGCAAGGGCGTGCAGAGAAGGCAAGTGAAACGGCTTGGGTCTCCGGGCAGCCGTGTCTGGGGTGTGGCCGGGTGAGTGTGTCGGGGAGAGTGAACGGGCTACTCTGCACACAGCCGTGCCTGGGGTGTGGCCGGGTGAGTGTGTGGGAGAATGAACGGGCTACCCTGCACACAGCCGTGCCTGGGGTGTGGCCGGGTGAGTGTGGGGGAGAATGAACGGGCTACTCTGCACACAGCCGTGCCTGGGGTGTGGCCGGGTGAGTGTGGGGGAGAATGAACGGGCTACTCTGCACACAGCCGTGCCTGGGGTGTGGCCGGGTGAGTGTGTGGGAGAGTGAACGGGCTACTCTGCACACAGCCGTGCCTGGGGTGTGGCCGGGTGAGTGTGTCGGGGAGAGTGAACGGGCTACTCTGCACACAGCCGTGCCTGGGGTGTGGCCGGGTGAGTGTGTCGGGGAGAATGAACGGGCTACTCTGCACACAGCCGTGCCTGGGGTGTGGCCGGGTGAGTGTGTCGGGGAGAATGAACGGGCTACTCTGCACACAGCCGTGCCTGGGGTGTGGCCGGGTGAGTGTGTCGGGGAGAGTGAACGGGCTACTCTGCACACAGCCGTGCCTGGGGTGTGGCCGGGTGAGTGTGTGGGAGAATGAACGGGCTACCCTGCACACAGCCGTGCCTGGGGTGTGGCCGGGTGAGTGTGGGGGAGAATGAACGGGCTACTCTGCACACAGCCGTGCCTGGGGTGTGGCCGGGTGAGTGTGGGGGAGAATGAACGGGCTACTCTGCACACAGCCGTGCCTGGGGTGTGGCCGGGTGAGTGTGTGGGAGAGTGAACGGGCTACTCTGCACACAGCCGTGCCTGGGGTGTGGCCGGGTGAGTGTGTCGGGGAGAGTGAACGGGCTACTCTGCACACAGCCGTGCCTGGGGTGTGGCCGGGTGAGTGTGTCGGGGAGAATGAACGGGCTACTCTGCACACAGCCGTGCCTGGGGTGTGGCCGGGTGAGTGTGTCGGGGAGAATGAACGGGCTACTCTGCACACAGCCGTGCCTGGGGTGTGGCCGGGTGAGTGTGGGGGAGAATGAACGGGCTACTCTGCACACAGCCGTGCCTGGGGTGTGGCCGGGTGAGTGTGGGGGAGAATGAACGGGGCTACTCTGCACACAGCCGTGCCTGGGGTGTGGCCGGGTGAGTGTGGGGGAGAATGAACGGGGCTACTCTGCACACAGCCGTGCCTGGGGTGTGGCCGGGTGAGTGTGTCGGGGAGAATGAACGGGCTACTCTGCACACAGCCGTGCCTGGGGTGTGGCTGGGTGAGTGTGGGGGAGAATGAACGGGCTACTCTGCACACAGCCAGTGGGCAGAGGAGCTCAGGCAACGATGCAGAGGCTTTGGGGAGCTTGGGAAGGGGTGTTGATCGTGTTTTATGTGTTTGTCTGGAGTGACCTGCTGCTGGGGCTTCCAGAAATGACCTCAATGAGCCCCTCTTTTCCGTAGCAGCCCCTTGGACAGGTGGGGAACCAGGGACACCCTCAGGCCCGCTGGAGACTTCTCTGCCTGAAGTGATGCATTCTGGGTCTTCCATAGGGGACACAGATTATTTTATTTTATGGTCACAGATGTCTGGATTCATGGGAAAGAGAGATGCCACCGTCTTCATAGCTTATTTCTTTGAGCTGTTTCAGCAAAGGGATTTGGTACCTGTAGCAACAAGGACCTGCAGGGGGCTGGCAAGGCGTTGGCCCGGCTCCCCTCTTACCGGAGAAGAACTTCGTTAGATACGCAGTCTCCTGGTTGGCTTCACCAGGCAGGACCCACAGGGGCCCCCATTTGCTCAATGTCAGTTTCCCTTGTACACTGGAAAAGCTCAGTCTCTCTGTTTTCAATCAATGAACTTGAAAGCATAAAAACAAAACAAAAAACAAAACAACCCCAAAACCTCCAGAAACTATCTCACCGGAACAACAGGCATTTTATTGCGTTAAATCAGATTTACAATCAGAGCTAAATCTGAACGTGTCTTGCCAGCCCCCCTGGGCTCTAGAGCAGGACTGTGTGGTTGTCACCACCTCATGAAGTTCAATGAGACGGAGGAGAAGCCCAGGGGGACCTGGCAGGCTTCCCCGCGGAGCCAGGGTCTGCTGCTCGGGTCCTGTCTCCGGCCACCACGGGCTCCGGCCTCCATGGAGTGACCCTCCCCTTCTGCTGCAGGTCGAGCAAGTCAGCCAGTTGGCCGTGTTTATAGAGGCCGCCTTAGAGTATCACAGGCAGTCCACGGAGATTCTGCAGGAGCTCCAGAGCAAGCTGCACATTCGGTAAGGGCCTCCGGCGCCAGCCCAGGGGAAACCGCGTGTCTGTCTGTCTGTCTGTCTGTCTCCCCGTCTGCCCCTTCCCGTTGCCCTGCTTCGTTTCGAATGTTCTGTACCTGCTTCATGGCTGGTGTGGGTGGCACTGAGATTATATCCACATGGCTTCGGCCGGAAGGACAGGACCGGGGAAAGGGAGGCTTTTTCGTTCCACGGACGCCCTTTCTTTGCGACGTACGTTCGGGGCAACGGGCAGAGCTGTTCACGGGCCTGGAGCTCAGCCCCTGCCGGGCTGTCCTGGTCTCCCTGCCGCCGGGAGTTCAGCTCCCGTTTCAGCTGGGGGTGGCGGCGGCATGTGCCCCTCCCGCCAGCGCCGGCGGAGGAGGACGTGGTGGAGAGGGAGGGGTGCCCCGACAGGAAGACGTGTTTCACTCCGGCAGTTCACACCCCAGGCCGTATCCATGCCCTTGACTGAGAGGTGCTGAGACTCAGAAACACCTGGACCATCAAAGAAAAATTGCCGCGTTCCTTATGACTTTTTTTTTTAATCCTCACCCGAGGACGTTTTTTCGTTTTTTGTTCAGATAGAGTGGGAGGGAGAGAGAGGGAGAGAGAGAGAGAGAGAAACATTGACATGAAAGGGACACATCGAGTCCTGCCTTCTGCACGACCCAAGACCCAACCAGGACCCGCACACTCCAACCAGGGCCGGGGACAAACTGCAACCAAGGTACGTGCCCTTAGCGGGAACCGAACCCGGCTCTCTCGGGACCGCAGGCCACGCTCCAACCGCTGAGCCAAACCGGCCAGGGCACGTTGCTTATGACTTTAAGGACCCAAGTCGGCTCTACGTTTTTGAAAATCACCCTGTTCAGTAAAATAAAGGGTTAAAAAACACACACACAAACAAACAAAAAACTCCCCTATGGTTTGACCAGGTTTGATAACCGAAAATTGTCTCATACAGGATTCGGGTAATGAATAATACATTTGGAGGGATTTTTGCTTAAAGCCACACCGTACCGACAGAGGGAAGACAGAAACCTGTCCAGTCCACGAGGCTCCCACTTACGCAGGAAGTTGCCTGGAGCTCACACGAGTGGGTTTTCATGTTCTGTCTCTGGGGAGAAAGGGCGGTTGCTGTTGTCACATGCCCAGAGGGACTTTGAGAGAGACGCTTTCGAATCCGTGGCTGAATGATGGCCTTAGGGATATCACCTCTCGCACTTTGGGTTACTCGAGAACCCGCGTGTAGACGTCCCCCCTGCGGTGACCCCCGCCTCTCCCCTAGGTTTGGAGGCTCCTCAAGGCAGGGCCCGCCTGTGCTGGAGGCTCTGCACGGCTTCAGCGGGAGCCTGACTCTCTTCCCGGGTGTGTTACAGAATTTCGGCTGCGTCGTCCCTGCCCAGACGGGAGTACAAGCCGCGGACACTGAAGAGGAGTTCCAGTGAGCTCAACGGGGTGTCTGCCACCTCGCTGACAAAGACCACAGGTGAGATGCCCGTTCTGCGGGCCAGGTGTGCCCCGCAGCCCGGTCCCGCCGGAATGCCCGCCCACCTCGTGTCCCCTCGTGTCCTGTGCCGCTGAATACGTCGAGACCCCCAATTCCTTTTCCAGTTGCTTGGTGACTCCTCCCCTCCACCCACCCCCATAACACCTCTTCGCCTGCTTCTTGGTTTCGGATCTGAGGTCAGTTCCTGAAAACCAGCAGCAGGAATAATTCCCCGGCACGTTTTACTCCCTTCTGATGGCTCCCGCCTTGGCCGTAGACTGACCCATGCCACAAAATTTTAAACTCCTTCAAAATATTTTACTTATTTTCTAAAAGTTGGGACTAGCATTTGCGGAGCTGTGTCTGCCAGGCACTGTGCATCTGCCACATTGTTTTATTATTTTTTTAATCCTCACCTCAGGATATTTTTGCATTGATTTTTTTTTTTTTTTTGAGAGAGTGGAAGGGAGGGAGGAGATGGGGAGAGAGAGAGAGAGGGAGAAGCATGGATGATGAATGTGAGAGAGACACATCGATTGGTTGCTTCCCACACGCACCCCATCTCGGCCTAGGGATCGAACCACAACCAGGTACATGCCTTTGACTGAGATTCAAACCCACTCTAACCATTGAGCAGCTGTGGCCAGGGCTGAATCATTATTTTTTTAATTAGACAAATGACAAACATATTGGTGAATAAAATGATCCAACCGAGAAAAACAACATTCAAGTGGTATAAGCTATGCTGTGGTTTCCTGTGATCACCCACTGCACCCCATTTCCTTCCCTAGACCTGGCCACTGTTCACAGTTTGGTACAAACACTGTCACCTCCATTTATGAACACTGTAATCACAGTTTTAGATTATTTTCTGTTTTTCAAATACAAGACCTTACTGGGTTATTGTGTGGCTTGCTTTTGTGAATGTTTCACTATTTTTTTAAAAACTGATTTCAGAGGGAGGAAGGGAGAGAGAGAGAGAGAGAGAGAGAGAGAAAGAGAGAAACATAGATGAGAGAGAAACATCGGTCAGCTGCCTCCTGCATGCTCCCTACTAGGGGTCGAGCCTGCAACCTGGGCATGTGCCCTGACTGGGAATCGAACTGGCGACCTCCTGGTTGCATGGGTTGATGCTCAACCCACTGAGACACACTGGCCGGGCTGTTTCACTCTTTCTTGGAGTAATTTCTATGTCATGCATATAGATCTACTGTGTTATTTTTTAACAGTTTCATAGTTTTTCATTATATATACATTTCCTTATTAGTGGACATAAAGATTGTTTCCAGTTATTTGCTAAAAGGAATGTCCTGTATCTGTAGAATATTTTGTACATGCTGATGGGCAAGTCTTTCTTGGAAATGAAATTGCTGAGTTAGAGTGAATACATGTTTTAAGTGATAGTAGATATAACCAAGTTATCTCCCCAAAATGGGCACGCTGCCTGCTATTAATGTAGTAATAATAACTGCTTCCCCAAATCCATGTCATTGGGCTTCCACATTGCCAAGCATTCATGGGTAAAAAGAAATGGTATTCGATCTTAATTTGCCTTTCTGTGATAACTAGTGAGGTTACAGGCTGTTTCTCCTATATTTTAATTTGCATTTGTATTTCTCATGTCTGAATTGTCTGTTCATGGAATTCATTTTTCCTTTGGGTAGTTTACTACGTCTTATTGATTCATAAGAATTCTTTACATATGGGGAGATGACGTTCCCCCCCCCCCCAATTTGGTATTGAGTGTTTAGCGTTCTTTATATATTCTAAATACGAAATCCGTAGACATATATGTGGGTTACAGATATTTCCTTTTCCTCTGTAGCTTCTTTGTAGTCTCTCTTTTTTTTTTTTTTATCCTCGCCCGAGGACATTTTTCGATATTTTGTTCAGCTAGAGTGGGAGGGAGGGAGAGAGAGAGAGAGAGAGAGAGAGAGAGAGAAACATCGACATGAAAGGGACACATCGAGTGGCTGCCACCCGCACGACCCAACCATGGCCGGGGACAAACTGCAACCGAGGTATGTGCCCTTAGCGGGAACCGAACCCGGGTCTCTCTGGACCGCAGGCCAATGCTCTAACCGTTGAGCCAAACCGGCCAGGGCTGTAGTCTCTTTACAGTATTTTGGATCTCAAAAATTTTAAATCTTGATGAAGTCCAATTTACCAATTTTTCCTTTTAAGATCATGCTTTTGACGTGAGATCTAAGAGATTTTTGTCTGGCCTGGATCCTGCAGATTTCCTCCCGTGGTTTTTCCCAGAAGGTTCACACTTTCTTACATTTTAGGCCACTTTGACCTAGTTGTCTTGTTTTTGTTTTTAATCCTCACCTGAGGATATTTTCCCATTGATTTTGAGAGAGAAAGAGAGAGAGAGAGAGAGAGGGAGAGAGAGAGAGAGAGAGAGAAAAACATAGATGTGAGAGAGACACATCGATTGGTTACCTCCTGCACACCCCTGACCAGGCCGGGGATCGAACAGAAACTGAGGTTCGTGCCCTTGCCCAGAATCAAACCCATGACTCTTTGGTCTGAGGGCCAGCGCTCTAACTGCTGAGCCAAACCAGCCAGGCCGACCTAGTTTTTGTGTAAGTGTGAGACTTGGGTCAAAGTTCACAGACTTCAGATTTCCCCATAACACACACTGCGGGACTTTCTTCTAACACTGTTGTGCTTTAAGGATTTTCAATTAAAAATAAAAATGATCAGAGTTCATATGTATATGGTTTTATTTTTGTTGTTGTTCATCCTTACCTGAGGGTATTTTTCCATTGATTTTTAGAGAGAGTGGAAGGAGGGGGGGAGGGAGGGAGGGAGAGAAACATTGATGTGACAGAGACACATTGATTGGTTGCCTCCCGCATGATTTCCACTGGGGTTGGGGATCGAACCTGCAGCCCAGGTACGTGCCCTTGACCCGAATCGAACCCAAGATGCTCTAACTGCTGAGCCACACCAGCCAGGGCTGTATATATAGTTTCAAAAAGAAAACAGTTACTACGCGGTGTTTCATGGAAAACAGCATTCTCTCCTTCGACTCCTCCCCACCTTCTCTTCCTCCGCTCACTTGGAGCTCCTTTAGCTGTTCCTTGGGCATTTCTCTCCATTGCTCTAAATAATAGACTTATATTGCTGGTTCCTGATTCTCCAGTTTTGGTTATTATCTATCAATTTCCTGATGGGGGGAGGAGGCCTTAGCTCCCATTCTTCAGTCCCCCACAGACTTCCTCTTTCCTTACTTTCCCAGTTTACTTATAATCGCTGTTTTTTCCCCCCATAAATATTCATTGTGTCACCATCACTTTGATCACACAGGACTCTTAGAATGGCTTTTTCTCCCCGAGAGGACTCCAAGTTCTTTGCTTCCTCACCCACTCTATGCCTGTCAGTAACTTGGTTGCTCCTTCTTGGCCAGTGAGCTCAGTCCCCGGGCTGATGAAGTTGTTCGAAAGGCAGTGGTCAGCAAAAGATGGCTTTCCAGGGGGCTGAGTGTCCACTACCACCCCTGCCGGCCACTGTGTGACATGGCCTGTCCCTCCCGAGTTTCCCAGCCACCGCAGCTGACCTGCCCTCGGCAGTAGCCCTTCACCTCTGACGCTCCAGCCCCGGCCTCCTTGATTTGTGGGTGGAATTTGTGAGTGTAAAGGGTCCTGCACTGTTTGTTTCTAAGGCACAGTTTCAAAAGAACACGGCATTTTATAGCCTGCGTTAATGGGACATTACTTTCCATTAGGATTCTGAATGATTTGCACATAATGTTTATAAAGTGAAGGAAAAATGTCAAGCATTTCACTGACGATTTAAAGCAAAGCTCCCAGGGCTTTGCCAGAAATGGGATCCAAGAACATTTTCTTCATCATTTCTTCTTTCTACAGGAAAAAAAAAGGGGGGGGGGGAGAGGGAAAGAGGGGAGATGAAAGAACGTAGGTCAATTAGGCAGATGCCATCGTGGGCCTGAGATGGAATCTTTGATAATATCCTTTCTCGGTACTTAACAGGGATGAACAGAGTGAGCCAGAAAGGGAGGAGGGGGCAGGGAGTGGAAATCCCATCTCACAGTGATGGATTGCAGACCAAATCCAAGTTTAGGCCCTGGCTGGGAGAACACACCGCCGGTCCAAGCCCGTGAGTGTGGTATCGCGATGCCTCATCAGCCTGTGCAGGCAAAGTCCTTGAACTGAGCCTCGGTGGTTCCCAGAAAACCACTGGTTTTGAGGAAACTAGTATAAGAACTGGTGAGCTGTGCTCAGGTAGCTTCCCTACCCCGGGTAATTTTAACTTTTTTTTTTTTTTTTTAATATCAACTCATTTATTTATTTATGAAGGTTTTTTTTGGTTTGCTTTCTCTGGAAGTTCTTTGAGAGGGCACAACTTGATGGGATCCCAGCTAAGGGTTAATACGCTCCGAGTGGGATCCGCTTCAAAACTGCGAAAGGCTGAGGTTAGGGAGCCGACGAGGGTTCCAAAGGTGTTTTCGGAGCCGTGCAGCATAAATCTTTCCAGTGGCTCATATTAAGACATGCTAGCTCCCTTTAGGTATAAAAGGGACTTTTATACATTTCTTGATACTTCTAAGGGGGCTCGGAAATAATGTCTCGAGCCGAAGTCATTCCCCGCTTGGAACAGAATCTCTAGGATTACATTAGAAGAGAAACATGGATTCAGAGGCAAAGTGTGAAGTCTGAGAATGAGAAAAGACAAGCACTTTGCACAGAGAGAGGAAATTAAAATTTCACAGAGTCGTGGCATGGTGACGGCTAGCCAGGAACTTATTTCTTACTTCCCTTTCTTTCCCATTCTTTTCCCCCTATTTTTTGTTTTTGTTTTTGTTTTTTTCTTGCTTAGCCCCCCTCCTGGCCACGTGAATGATCAGTCTGGTTCAGAGTCAGCTTTATTGACAACAGAAAAATAAACAAGGAAACAGGAGTCCTGCAATATAGCTCAGATTCTGGCGCTTAGTAGCTGTGTGACCTTGGGAGTTTCTTGACATCTCTGGGCTG